CAGGGGTGGGGAACCTTTCTTCTGCCAGGGGCCGTTTGGGTATTTATAACATCATTCATGGGCCATACCAATTTATCAGCTTAAAATGACCTGCTGTATTAGATCGCACATTTCATTAACTCACCCCTAATGTCTGGCAGGGCCAGCCCAAATGATTTCAAAGGCCTTATTTGGCATGGGCCCGATGTTCTCCACCCCTGGGCTACCCTCAGGCCAGTCTCTCCAAGCGGCTCTTCCTCCAAATCAGTCTGCTCATGGAACTGCCTGCCTCTTTCCTGTAAATACACCCCGTCTCTCCCTTCCAGGCAGCAGCAGAGTGGGACCAGCCCGAAAAGTCACCTTTTAGTAACTGCAGAGAGGTGCCCCCAGCTAATTACTTTCTCTCTCTTCTCTGGAGAAGTAATTAGGGGGTTCCTTGCACTGTCTGGGGGTGGGGAAAGGCAGGGTGTCCCTTCCTCTCTGCATCAGTGTGCAGGGTGACTCCACACTCCCACAGGGTCCCAGCGCCTGCTTCCTTTCTCTCGCTCTGCTGAGAGCCGTGCGTTTGCCTACCTGCCTCTGTGAGTCAGCCCTCTGCCCGCTAGCAGCCCCTGGCTCCCACCCATTCTTCCTGCTGCTAGCATTGGCTGAGTGAGGAGGGATCTGTGTGCACAGACACTTCAGGGCAGAGTCCAAAAGGTGGTCAGTCGTGCCACTGAGGGCAGGCTTGGCGCAGAGGCCTGGGCCTGCTGGTGTCTGCTGGCTTTCAGCAAATTGCACCGCCAATTGAAACTGAATCCTTTCATCTGGAAAATGGGGACATCACAGACTCTTCCTCCTTGAAGGGGAACGTTAGGGCAAGCAAAGAAAATCCATGTCACAACGACAAAGTTACAAAAAGTATAATTTTTGTAACTAGATTTCCTCTTTTTTTAAGAAAAAGTATTTTTATTGATTTCAGAGAGAAAGGGAGAGGGAGGGAGAGGTATAGGGAGAGGGAAAGGGAGGCAGAGGGGGAGAGAGAGAGAGAGAGAGAGAGAGAAAGAGAGAGAGAGAGAGAGAGAGAGAGAGAGAGAGATACATCAATGATGAGAGAGAATCATTTATCAGCTGCCTTCTATAAGCCCCACACAGGGGACTGAGCCTGCAACCTGGGCATGTGCTCTGACCAAGAATCGGACTATGATCTCCTAGTTCATAGGTCAACCTGCAACCATTGAGCCCCACAGGCAGATTTTCTCCTCTTAATGAAACATATGAAGTCATGGACAGGCCCAGTGTAGTCACTTCACAACCCAACTGTCCCATAATGCATCTTCTACTCCTCTGACTTCAGTAATAGTCCCCGCTCACACAGGGGCAGGGCGGGCGGGCCTGGGAGCCGGTTCTTGAACAGACTGATAAGGGGATGGGCATTCCTGGGATTTAGCAGTTGTCACTCATCACTCGTAAGACAATCTGCCTGCGGGTAGCTGAGGTCTAGCAGGACAGGCAGCGCTTCCCTAACCGGGTTTATACAGATGTAATTTCTGCAAAGCATTTCCCATTTTACAGGTATGGATACAGATCTAAACACACAACTTCAATTATCAGATGTCCCCCTCTTAGAACTGGCTCCTCAGCTCCCATCCGATATCTCTTATTACCCGCATGACCTTTTCTCTCGCGACTGTAAGGTTATTTCGTTGGACTCTCTCTTACGAAACCCGTGGAAGCTGCGGCCTGTAGACCAGCAGGAACCAGATGGCACGTCGGCCCGGAGTTTCTGAGCACACCTTGTCCACGGAGGATGTGACATCACTCCACGCCCAGCTCCTGCTCCTCCAGCCTGGCGTTCCCTCCTCACTTTCCAATCTCCATGGACTGGAAGCTCCAAGGAGACGGAGCTCACAGATCTACATGCTTCACCTTAGGTTTCCCCCGAACTGGCATTTAACAGGCTCAGAAGAACATTCTGACAGCTGCATGGATGAATGACTGCGGGAACCTGCCATCATTCTCCGTGTTGTCACAGACGGCAGCGCGTCGCTTTCTGCATCTTTCTCCCCGGCGCCCGTAGCTCATCGCTTGACAAGCTCTGTGGAGTTGGCCCCTCGGATTTCTCCTTTCACTTCCATCCCGAGTGCCAGCCCTGATCCCTCACGTTGAACTCTAGCCCCACCTCCAGCCCAGCCTTTCCCCTCTCACCTCCTCCTGTCCTAGGTGTCTCTTCCACAGCCAATGACTTCATCGCGGCCTAGCCCTGCCAGAAGCCAGCCAAATTCTCAGCGTCTGCATCTCAGCTTCATACTCCTTGCAGGTGAGGCTCAGCCACCTGGCCTCCTCTTTTTTCCTAACCTCATCACCTATTATTCTGCCTCACTCCCACTAGATAGCCCTGTCTGTGTCCTTGAGGCACCCCTCTCACAGCTTCGTCTCCACACTTTCCACACACCGTTTGCCTCGTTTAGGCTGTGAGTTCCAATCATTGCTCAGGCCCAACTAAAGTCTTGACAATTATAACAATGAAGGAACACAGGAGTAGCTAGAACTCTCTAAATAACTTCCGTGTGCTACACACAGCACTAAGTTATTCATACACACTATTTCATTAAGCTTCACAAAAACTCAGGAAGATGAAGTACAATTCTTATCCTCCTCATACAGTGGAGGAAATCCAGGCTCGGAAGTGGCAAGAAACGGGCTTACGGTGGCTGCACTGAACAGCTCAGGCATCCATCTCTCAGGCCCCAAAGCTACGATCCGAGCGGCGCTGCCCAACACCATTCTCTCCTCTGAGCTCTGACAGCCCGTTACTCTGCATAGCCGCTCAGTTGCCACTGTTCACTCGGGTTGTTCGATCACGGGACACTTTCTCGTCTGCCTGTGTTTCTTGCTCCCAGTTTTACCTGAGGACATGCATTACCCTTCTGCGACAGGTTCTGGCCAGCAAATGTGTGCGGACCGCACTGAGGAGAGGTGTCAGGTGACCCATCCGTCGCTCGTTCTGCTGATTAGCTCATCCTTTAAGAGGTAAATTTACTGCCCTCCCCTCTCCCCCCAGGACCACATGCTGACCCCGGGGATAAACCAGAGAGGCCATCGCTGCTCAGGCCCCTGAGGGACACACTTCTGCGTGGCTGGGAAGGAGCCTGATGGCAGCTCCCGGGGGACTCGGGAGCCGGTGCTTGCAGAACCTCAGATCTTTGCGCTCCGAGGCCTCTGTGAGGGTTACCGGAAAACAACAACAACAAACCCCAAGCCCTTGGATACCTCTCAGGCCCACTGTGAAGTTTAACCACTTTCTTGAGAATCAGAAATGCAGCGGGAATGACACAGCCTGTTTATACATCACCACGGTTTGGGTGTTTTTGGTTGTTCAACTGGCCCGTTTAAAATTAGAGCCATGAGATCCGACAGACAGACCACTGTATATACGTAAAATATTAATCTGGGACTCGACCTTCAAGAAGCTGGTTGACCTTGAGTTCAGCGCGGCCCTTCTCTGAGCCTCAGGGTGCTCAGGCTGACCTGGGGGGCGGGGGAGGGGGCTAGAGGCTCTCTACTTCCCCTCCTGGCTTCCTGTCTGGGGCTCGTTAGCACAGCGTTCACTTTGGTTTATGCCCACGATGCTGCGTCACCTTCTCTGAGGCTGTCTGCTCCGCCCTCTCCTGCTCCTGGGCATATGCAACCGGACAAAGCGGTGAGCAACCTCAGGTCTAGGCTCCCCTTGCAAAGTCCTCCCTGACCTCTGCGCCCTTCACCCTGACACTCCTCTGCCCTCTTGTGTGCTTTGCATGTTTAACATGGAAAGCTTCGCACTCAGTTCCCAGTGGGGGGGGGGGGGTGGGAAGGGGGGAGAAGAAGAGGTTGCCTCTATTGGAAGCCACCATCACCTTCCCAGTTCCCTCAAATCCCTACAGGGAACAGAGACAGCGAAAGTGGTTTAAAAATCCTCCCTCAGACTTCTCAGGTTGAAGGTGGGTCTGGGGAGGAGGCCAGGGGCAGGAAGGCTCACACTAACCAGCCCTCTGCGCCCTCTCCACACTCAGGCCCTGACAACATGGACACGGGGGCGGGGGGGGAGGTGGGAAGGACATTCAGAAGGCCCACTGCTTAAGAGGGCGAGGAGACACTGACAACAGCACGCAGAGGAGGCTGGCTAGGAAATGACCAAGGCTATCGGGCAAGTTCAAAACGCAGCAACGAAAACGGTCCTGCATGGAGTGAGGCCATGGGCACAAGGATAGGCAGGTGATACAGTTACACAGAACAGGCACATGTGTGCGCGCAGATACATGCACACACACATACTCTCACACGTAAATTTGTGGAATCTGAAGAATAAGGTTAGTGGAGTATACCCATATCAGTTCCCTTGTTTGGATAGTACACTATAGTTATGTAAGATGCCACCACTGGGAGAAAGCTGGGTGAAACAGCACATGGACCTGTCTACCATTTTGTGCAATTTTTTGTGAGTCAACAATTACTTCAAATTAAAACAACAACTTATCCAAGCACCTAGCAACCTAGATCTGTCTCTGTCTTCCAGGTTCCTGGTAAATCGTCACTGCCACAGTCCTTATCTTCATCATCATCATCATCATCAAGGCTCCCATTTGTTGAACATTTACTATGTGCTATGCAGTACTTAAATATTTTCTCACCTGTGTCAGTGCAAACCCCCCCCCCCAGGCTACCACCCCAGTTTTATAGATGATGGTGAACAGTTTTATAGATGATGGTGACATTGAGAGAAGCAGGACTGAGTCCCAGGCCACAGAGCTACTGCAGGGCCGGGTCTGACCCAGGTCTGGGATGGTGACGCTCACATGCGGGGACGAGTAGCCAGGACTGTGTGCAGCCATCGTGGCATTCGACGTGTGCTCCCTGGAAACCACTGAAGCACACCCCTCAGTGTCTCCAAGGCGCCGGGCCCAGGCCACACAGGGTGCGGCGTACCGCCTGGTGATCCCCTCCCTCACCCCGCTCTGGCCTGAGAGCCACATCTGCAGCGAAGCAGCAAAAACATTACTTACAGGTTCTTCACGTCGGCGATGCCTCGGAACGCCTTCCTCGGGATGCCCAGGATCTGGTTCTCGCTCAGATCTCTAAACAGGAGGAAGAGAGGCACCGAGTTAACCGCAGGCCGGCTCTGTCTGCATCTCATTACGATAACAAAACCCCGTGCGGGCTGTTGGGGGGACTGTTTAGTCTCAGGCCCCAGGCTGCCACAGGCCTGTGCATTGTTCCTTGGAGATGGCCTTTGCCGGAATGGTTACCAGGGGGAGCCGTCGCCTCCAGGGTGGGCTCTGTGGGTGGTCTCGCACCTCCAGGCCAGGAGCCAAGCCGCTGGGTTATTTGTTGCACACACTGCACCCAACTCTGAGGTTTTGCCACCTCCCGGAGACGACCCCCTGCCCCTCCTCCCGCACGTGTCCCTCCCCCATAGCAGGGTCAGCACCTCTGCATCTCCCATCTCTTGGGGACCCGCTGCTTTTGTTGTCTGGGGTGGGAACGGAGCCGGCCTCCTGATTTTCTGACAGGGACCGACCAGCTCTGCCGCTCAGAGTCTTCTGGGCCTCCCGGGTCACCTTAGTGACAGGAATGATGAATTCAAATTGCATTTCCGTAAAACCATTCAAAATAGGGGTCCCGTTGGCACCTCAGCCTGCATTAGGCAGTGCTAAGGCTCTGCTTCAAGGAGGGAGGGCAAGGAATTCTCCAAGCTGGCTCAAACCCAAACCCTCTGCCAGGTCCGCTTTAAGAGTCCCCAGAGCCTCAGTTTCCTTTCCTAAGGCTCATACAGTCTTTCCCATTTTGTTTCCAGTTATATACACACATATATATATGTTTATGAGACCAAACGCAGGCACTTGTTTTCACTCATACTTCAGCCTGCCTGGGATCTCAACGAGTAATCAATCATACACACATGTATATCTATAGCTACATATACCAATCATATATTATATACATACACACATGTGCATATTTGTAGTTATAGCTCTCCATTATTTTGAAAAGAACTCAAAAACCCTCAGATATTAAGGCAAAAAAAGAATATTTTACCTACCCAGACCTAACCACTGTTACCAATTAGGAGTAATTTATACATAAATGTCACCCATATGATCTCATAGCATACAGTCTGTTATAACTTCTTTTCCACTTATTATATTGAGACCATCTGCTCCTATCATTAGCAGTACATCTATGCCAACACTTTGAATGCCTGTATATCATCCCCTTGTGTAGATGGCTACATGGCCCCACACTGCTATTTTAGGAAACACTAGGATGAACTTTCCTGTCCTACAGGGGGCACGGGCTGGGTCACAGGCAAACACGTGTTGCACTGCCAAGTGTCCTAGAGTCTGAGTGTACCCAGGGACACGCCGGTGCCCAGTCCCACAGACACCTAAGCGACGGCTGTAGGCGGCTCCAGATACAGCTGGAAAGAGTGGCCAGACCACCTTTCACCACCAAAACCTGGGCCTCTGGACGGACATTTTGCATGGGGGCAGAAGGGAAGCCAGCCCACGGAGGCGAGGCATGTGTTCGCCTTCTCCCATCTCCAGGGTGAGCCACTACCCTCTGAGTGATTGGCAGGCACTGGGGAGCCTTGGGGGTTGTCTAGGACCCCGTTAGGCTCAGAGTTGGGGTTGGGTGCAGATCGGAATACGTGTGGCTTCTGGGACTGAATCAGAGGGTCCCTCCCCCCGCTCAAATCCAGTTTCCTTGGCCTGCAAGGGATGTAAGTCAATTTAGATGCGTGGGGGCCTGGCTGCAGGCTCCCCCGGCCGGGCCTGATTCAATGAGCAGGGCTCCAGCCTGGAGTCGAGGCGCTGAACAAAGCCCACGATGACAGCAAAGGTCGGCGGTGTCGCCGAGGCCACGCCTCTGCTCTCCATCAGCCTCGTAGAGAAGGGGGCCAGGGTCCTGTCATCCCACTAATGCGATTTCCACAGGGCCTCTGGGCCGCCCCCCAGGCTCCGGCTGCCACAATGGGCCCAGTCTTTTCTGGCGAGTGGAGGCTGGTCTCCAGGACAGCCAGCCCTGCCCTCTGTCCTCCAGGCTGGGCTGCTGCCTGCGGCCGGCCGCTTGGGACACACTCAGGCCACACTCGGCGAACAGCTGATGATCCCTATACCGTTACAGGCAGGGGTAGCAGACCCAGGGTTAGAACCGTGCGCTCCAACCAGGTTTGGAAGCGACAAGAAGGGGGACACACACCCCAGCAATGCACTACCCCTCTGAGAATAAGGTTCTCCACCTACACGGACAGAACAATGATTGCATGAAGGTTCTGGCTTGCAGGACAGTGGGACGCAGAGGAGAAAGCAATATTTAAGCAGACATGCCTGGAGGAGCTGCTGGGATGTCTCCCACAAAAGTGGCCACTCAGGCACAGTCCTGCACTCGGGCGGGGCGGCCACGGGGTGCCGGCGTACTGTTTTCTCGATGTACATACCTGAGTCCTGCTTCGAGTCTAAGGAGCCTAGGCTAAGCTTCCCCTCCCCCCGCAACTATGATTTCCCGCCTGCCACAGCTGAGCAAAACAGTAGATTGTAGGAAATTTATCTGTTCTCCATGACAATCTGCTTATACATTTTATTAATTTCATTTTCCATTGAGCCTCGCCTCTCCTCTCCAGCGGACAATACGGCTGCCATCCATCTGCGGGAGTGTGTATTGATTTCCTAAATACCTCCAGTAGGCTGACAAACGGACGGCTTTAACGGTGTTACCGATGGGGTGTGGAGGAGGCCCGGGGCTGGCTGGCGCTTCATTTTCGGTAACTGTCTCTTCGCAATTATCTCGGGGCCTTTGTGAGGGTTTCTGAGGGTGTGCTTATCTCAGCGTGATGCCCAGCATGGAGCTGTTGTTAAGTACTGTCCCTGGGAGGGACAAGAGCCACCATTTTCGGCTGACACTTAACTAAAAATAACAGAATCTCTCCGGAGTGCTGAGAGAGCCTGGCTCTGGCCAATGACTTGTTGAGGCTGGAGTACCTCACCCTTCCCGAGGGGACATGTGGGGAAGGAACTTGCTTTAAAAATAAAATAAAACACATAACACAGATGAAAGGTACGAGGTTGGCGTAGGGCGGGAGGGAGGCGCCCTGGGTTTCTGGGGAAATGAAGGGAGAAGGCCGGAGGGAAAGGCTTTCTGGGTTGGGAAGCCGGGTTATGGCTGGGACGCCTTTCTAAGTGATTAGGGCTCTAAGAAAGAGGGAACTGCATTAGCTAAAGTGCATTCTCCTGCTTCCGGAAAATGATTAACTGGCTGATTATTCCATCCAAAAACTCAAGACCGAAGAGGACTTATTAAGGAGACAGTAAGTCAAACAGAAGTTGGCAAGAATCAATAGGTCCCCTCCTGCCCCTCCTCCCCCTTTTTAATTTACTAAAATGCTCTGGACACAGATTAACTGGCTTTGCGAATTTATTATTGCTCCATCCACCCCGAAACGGGAAGTGCGGACACTTTGCTAAGTGGATTGAGAGGTTGTCTCGTTCCATCGGGGCTTAGGGAAAGCATCCCGGGCGTTCCCCGCCATGGACGCCAGGCTGGCTTTGTTCTCAGAGCAGCGGTGGATGGCAGTCCCCGCCTCCCCTGCCCTGCCCACTCCCTGGTGATGGGCGAGGTCCAGAGGCTTTCTGTTCCCCCTGGGGGACGATGTGCTTATCTCGGTCACGTTCCTACTTCCAGGAAGACCTGTCCGTGTTCAGCAGCAGTTTTGGGAGGTGGTGATGGTGGTGGTGGGGTTTTGCTCCCAGATATCAACTTCCCGTTATCCAGAAGATACAACACAGGGCCGGAAGCTCCCTCACCCTCGGAGAATTCTTGTTTCTGACGTGGGTGGAGTCACTTACTACTTGTATCAGCATGCCAACCGCTGACATGCCGCATGCCTCAGTTTCCCCATGCTTACAGGAGGACAGCTATTTTACCGACCTCAGAGGTTCATCGTGAGGACAAAGTGAGTTGATACTTGTGTGCAATTTGCATCTGGAGCCCTGTGGACAGGAATGGCTGCGTTTATTTCTTGGACTCCTCCTCTACCCCCCCATTGAGCCCTGAATTGACACTGCTGAAAACACAGTTTATCATCGCCCTCAGGACATGTGCATCCAATTCTTAAAAGAATAACACACACAGATGCTGCTAAACCATTCTTTCCATAGAATCCGGGGGAGGGATGAAGGCTTCCCTCCTCGTTCATCTAGAAAGGAGGACCCGTTTTTTATTCTGGATTCCTCTGGATGAAAGAGGAGAGGCTGGTTCAGGAGAACTGGGTCTGCCTTCGGGCAGGCGCTCTCAGAAGCAGAGACAGCCCAGGGAGGGCTCACAAACTGCTCCCGGGAGAGACCAGGGAGGGAGGGAGGACGCAGGATGGAGAAGGGGAACACAGGACACTTAGGTCCAGACCTGGCTCAGCCCAATGCCCTGGGCGCTCCTGCCTCTAACCTCGGCAGCCCTGCCCCCGGCAGCTCTTGGTTAGAGAGAAGTGTCAGCTCCCAGCCTGGCTTGTTCTCTGGGGGGAGGTATGAGGGGACTCCAGGAACCCGAGGACAGTTTGCTGAGGAGGCTCCCAGCCAGGGCCTTTAGCAGCAAAGTCCAAGAAGCAGGAGATGGAGCCAATGTCAGACTCCAACCCAAAGCATTTCCTAAGAAGGTTTCAAGGGCAGTTCTCCTGAACCAAGAAGTTCTCAGAAGGTTAAAAAACATTCCCAAAAGGTGACATAACCAGGACCAAAGATCAAGAGGCCTCGAAAGAACATGGAAACAACCCAGTTCCCAAACGCCTTGCACTGAGACCAACAAGGTGCCTTTTCAGAAAAACAAGCAAGCAAGCAAACAAACAAACAAACCAATCGACCAAAAACAAAACAAAAAAACACAACAACCATCAACACTTGATTAGCCAAATTTAGATCCACTATAACCGGAACCATGACTGGATTTGGGACCAGGGCAGTGGATTACCACTTTAAGTCTCTTTGGCCTGAATTTACGTTAAAATTACTGTCCTAGCCAAACCCGGTTTGGCTCAATGGATAGAGCTCAGCTTGGGGACTGAAGGGTCCCAGGTTCGATTCCGGTC